AGACAGCCTGCAGGGAGTCGTGGAAAGAGAAGGCTCAAGCCGCGGTCATGGGAAGTGCATCCGGCGGGCAGGTAGGAAGAAGACGTCGGTGCCACCAGGACCCTGGAATCCAGCATGAAAGGCCAGAGCTGCACAGTCTTGTCTGAGGCTGTGGAAACAAGAAAAATGGCACAAGCAAAGGCTGCCTCGCTGTTCTGCACCATCTGTTTGGGTTTACTGAGTTGTCCTTTGCCAGCAGAGTTGGGGAAATGCGTACAAATAATTCCGTCCCATCTCAGGCAGGCAGTATCGTCAGAAAGGGAACGTAATAAAGCAATTCATGGAAATGGTGGGGGTGCAGCCTGTAAAACTTCAAAGCCAACATGTCTGAGTCAGGGCTGACTTCTTCAGTAAAATTTCCCCCCGTTCCCCAAGACAGTGTGTCTCCCTTTTTTCTTGCCCCGGAAGCATCTCAACCCAGAAAGCCTTTGGAAATGAAGTTCTGGGCCAGCTTCCTAATCCCAAACCCTACAGCGGACTGTCCTAAAATGATGCGTTAGAAGCGTGGGCTGGACCCACAGCTGATTGGGTTGGGGCTGATACGACCTTAACCGCGACCAGAGCAACTGGACGGTGAACCCTAACCACGGCGTGTGAGGAGCGAAACGGGAGCTGCAGGGGCCGGGCTCCTTCAGAGACGTGCAGCCCTCTCAGTTGCTCACGAATCGCGGTGCCTAGACTCCTCAGGTGAGATAGTGGGGCTCCCTCTTCTGCCTCTTGGCCCCACAGCCGTGCAGGCCCTGACCCCCGTGTACCGCTCAGAGCCTCTGTGGGAGGCAGCACCCAACCCTGGGACCCCTCTGCACAGTTTCGATGCAGAGACTTCTTACAGAGCTGTGGGCCACCCCCAGGGAACCGCCAAAGGTGGAGGTCAGCAGCATTAGGACAAAGCCAGGGCCACCCGGGCTTGACGGGGCGAGGAGAGGAGGGGTGTGGCAGGGTCCACTCGAGGAGGGACGATTACCACCTGAACGGTGAGGCCGACTCGGGGAGTGCAGTGGGGGAGGATGACGCCAAGCTCCCTCCCTCCTGCTCTGCGTCTTCTGACCACATCCAAAGGTGAGGGATGGACGGGGAAGAGGAGGGGAAAACGGGGAGAAACCAGCACATGCGGTATTTGAACCAAAGCAGTTGATTTACGTGACAACACGTGAAGCTGATTTTTCCAAAGCTTGAAAAGTACATACATTTACGTGTGCACACTTGTTTGTGTAAAGTAGGTCACACACACCCTAATCATCTCTGTCTCCAACGTGGTCTCAGTGGGCATATAGTCCCAGACACAAAACCATTCAGGTGATAAGGTTATGGACGTCATAGCGTCCCACTGCCCGTCAGCTTCCCATTCAGTCTGGACCAGGGGCCTGTGTTTGTGTTTTCAACACCTCAGTCCCAGTCATCGCACACGAAGTTCTGAGAACCAGTCGCTTCAACAGTGTCAGTCCTGCACCTCTAAGGAAAAACCCATTTAAGCAGATTATTTTCCTTCTTGATGAGTAGGTGGGACCCTCACTAACCAGAAAGAGAAAGAGCAGCAGAGGCAGAACGATGTGCAGAGAGGAAGGGAAGGCTGAGAGAGGGGCTTGAGAGCGCAAGGCAGCCTCTGAAGGAAACAGCGGGAGGACAGTCAGGGAGAAGACGGGTGAGGATTAGTAAGGCACAGGGGTAAGAAATGTGTGCATGGGGCCGATGCTGTATTGGAAGCCTTGTGGAGGGTCCACTTAAAACCCTTTAAAATTCTGCACACTGAGAGGATCGTGACTACCTGCTGGGAGGGTCTAAGGACTATGACATCAGGTGGCACCGAGCACACCCAGGGCCCAGATCTTGGTTGGTAAACACCATCCTGCAATGAAAGACACCGGAGTCCTTGGAGAAACAGCTGGTTCTAAGGCTGGGGCAGGACACACACCCCAGTGCACCTGGAGCATCTTGTAGGGTCGGAAAGGGAGACGGTGCTCAAGAAACAAAAGAACGGGAGCTTGTTAAAGGGCCACAGGATCCAACCTGCAAGAGTTCCCGACAGCCAGAACAACAGGAAGAAGCGTATTGGATTACAGCCCAAAGTGAAATAAATGTGCACAAGTCCACGATTCGATCAATAAATACTGAACAACTAAATGAGGGGGAAGAGGCAGGCTTTTCATACACAAGAATTCCAAACAGTACACGTGGGTTTAATCGCCCACCTTTGGGGGTGGGCTGGGCTGAGTGACTTGCTCCCAAAAATAAAGCAACGAGAAGAGAAAAACAGTGACTTCACAGTGGAGAAATCTGACCAATACCTGAACCAGGCAATGAAGTTTAGCATCACCAGCGACGTCACATAGAGACATGTGCCCCCAGCCCGACACATGATAAAGACACGTCTCCTTGAGGATATTCTGTCCAGAAACCCATCATCCGGGTCCAATTACGAGGACATCAGATGCACCCAAATAAGGGACATCCTACAAAATCCCTGCCTCATACTCTTAAAGCTGTGAAGGCTGTGAAGATAAGGAAGGATGGAGGAATTGTCACAGACCAGAGGAGCCAAGGGGACATGAGGAGAAAACCAGTAGGGTGTTCAGGATGGGACCACGGAACAGGGAAAGGACATTAATGGGAAAACCTGTTTCAATTTATAGTTTAATGAAGTCTGGAGTTTAATTAATTGTAATGTAGCACTGTTACAGTTGAAGAATTTTAAAATTAAATATTTAACATTAATTTTACCTATTTTCAATAAAAGATCAATCATCTGTTAGAACAATTGATTCTTTCTGTAGGATTTAAAGCAGTTCTTAAGACATGGGCTTGAGTCCTGTCTTGTTCAGTTTTTTTTTACTGCAGTGTAGTTGACTTACTACGTTGTGTTAGTTTCAGGTGTGCAGCGTAGTGATTCAGTTATACACACACACACACACACACGCTTTTTCAGATTCTTTTCCATTGCAGTTTATCACAAGGTATTGAATAGAGTTCCCTGTCCTGCACAGTAGGACCTTGTTTATATCCATTTTATATATAGTAGTTCGTATCTGCTAATCCTAAACTCGCAATTTATTGAGTTCTATCTTAGTTGAATCACAAAGCACTTTTGAAAAATGAATATTGCAAAAAACAACATAAACCTTTCTGCTTCATTTTATGCTCAGTGACCATCTGGCTGTATCTGTTCCCTTTACTGAATTAAAACCAGCTCATCCTCCAGGAAGCAAGAAGTAACTGCCATATGTGTTCATTGGCTGAAAGTTACATGAATAAAACCTCATGTAAAATTTCTGAAATTTTCCTTGAACTAAAAATAAGCAAAATGAGTTGTTGATGACTAGATTGCTCATAAATTCGCCCCAGGAGACACCCCAGAAGCTCTGTAGATGATCATCTGCCCCCACAATAAACTTCATACAGCTGGCTCGGAAGAAAGTTCACTCTCCAAAGTGATAAAAACATTTTGATTAATGCAAAAAATTCTCTTTAAAAGTTCAAATAGGAAGCAACTGCTTGGATAATTTGATGTACTATGAAAAGATTAGGTATTGAAATGAATAATAGGTCCCTATGCTGGTGACTGGTAACCATAGGCTGAAACATGGTTATGTTGCATTTTTTCTGGATGAACCTCAAAGTCCTTGACACACAGTGGTGACAGCCGCCTCCCTCTGGAGACAATGAACTGGTTCAGACGCAGCTCTGGCTAAAGAGCCTTTATCCAGGAATGAATATTTGGCCATAAGCCTTCCTCTTCCTGGAATGCTAAATCCCAGGGATTCTCTGCAGTGCCGGCATCGTCTGCCGAGCAGGGTGTTTCCTGAATGTTTCTCATGGGTTGGAAAATGGTTTGTGAGGAGAGAGGACACTTCCACTTCCCTGGGCATCAAATCCCACATAGTGACCGATAAGCTCCAATCACAGCAGCTGTTTCTCCATCCGAGGACTTCAGAGGTGCTAAGGACAGAGACAGACAGACAGACAAGCAAAGACAGAGACAGAGCCAACCTTGATGTTCTTAAAGTACTAATTCACCGTTTACAAAATGTTTCAGTCTCTGTAATAAGACATCTGGTGACAGCTAAGTTTTATTTCATTCTTAGCAAAATGTAGGTTGTAAAATTTATCTTAACCAAAGTATTGACCTCGCTGTCTTTTAAACATCTTTCTCCATTGTGAACTGCTGAACCCTGTGACCACAAGTGTGATACTCCGAAGGGCTGTCTCCTCCTCTCACCTGGAGAGCACAACTTACATGGAAACGTCCACAGCTGATTCGGCCTCCCAGACAAGCGGATGGGGAACAGAACCAGGTATTGCCCTGAGGGGTGCTAAGTGTCCCTGATGTGGACAAGCAGAAGTTTCTCGGTGAAGACGATCTTTGCCATGTATCACGGCAGGAACTCCACAGTCTCAAACGAATCCTTGCTGAAATATTTGGATGAATTCAAAGCTTAACTTTGAGGGGAAACCCACGTCTGCCTGCAGCTGCCCTGACTGCCCACGTGGGCTGGGATTGTGTTAGATATTCTGCTCCAGCAAGAACTCTGGCCCGATGTCTCATCGTTTATAACAAGAGCTCATTTACTCCTTTGGTAGCACATCCTATTCTCTTAGTGACTCAATTGAAAGTCCCCAGGGAGCAGGAACTATGTGTTTTTATCCCTGAATCCAGCAGTCTGACCTGATGAGTGATAAATGTTCATCCAACGAACGAATAAACAATACTGTTTTACCACCCAAAGTCCCTTTGTGTAAAATCTAATGTGATTCCCTCCGATTTGCCACCAGGAGAATGTTGTCTCCTTTAAGGAATTTATAAGCATCCTATATTAGACTTAGAATTATTTAACCCACTAAACTTAGCTTTTTCTCTGGCTGCCAAATCAGGACCAGATAGCATCCATGTTCAAAGACAGCAATGAGACCAGCCATTATAGTCAGAGTGTTTCCTTTTTTTAAAATTGAAACATAGTCAGTTACAATGTGTCAGTTTCTGGTGTACAGCACAGTGTCCCAGTCATGTATACACACATACATTTGCAGAGTGTTTTCTGATTTTGGTTTCTTGAAGCTTACTGTTTAATTATATTTTATCCTAAGCTACCTCAAATTGGGGAAGATAGTAATCATTAAATAGATAAGTGAAAATGTGGAGACATGGGTTATGTTAACTGATCCACAATTTCGAGGTGTCCCGTTCTTCCTCCAGGGCAGGACACTAAGTGTCTTCCTCTCCCGGGGAAGCCAAGGGGCGTTACTTGTGTGCTGGGGCAGAGGGGCTTTCTGTTCCTCCCCCTGGGCAGCTGGTTCTGCTTTTACTCCTCCAGGAGGTAAGGGTACATGGGTGGGCTTTGGGCCGGTCCGCAGGGGCAGGTGCTCACGTCTGTCCCTGGCACCAAGGGGCTCCAGTCTCCTTTGTGAGAGGCTGGGGTCTCCCTCTCTGTCTGGACCTCCAGCTATTCCAACGGGACATGCTGCGCCGCTCGCGGCCTTGGAAATCTGCTAACATTCTGCCTGATGTCCCCTTACTTGCCTCCTTCCTCGTGCTGCACAGCGGTCCTGCCCTGGCCTCTCCTGGAGGGGCTGGTCCCTCTTTGAAACTCCGTCTGCTTGGTGGCCTGTAACCTCGGCTCTCTGATCAGCTCCAGAAAAGTCATGATTTTGTAGATTAGCCAGTTTTTTGCCATTTCTGGGGGGGGGGGTCGTTCTTTTGCAGCTTTTACACCCAGGTGGAGGCTGAATCACCAAAGGTGATGGATGGTTTGGAGCAGCGTGAGGGTGTGTCTGTTGACGGTTTTGCTGACACCCTTGGCTGTGGATCTGCAGTTCTCATCCCCGTCTGCCTTCCTTCCTTATGTCCAGCGCTTGAGTTGGAGGCGCCCGGCCAGGCCGGGGCTCTGATCGCTTGCCAAGGTTCACATTCCAGTCCAGCCATGACCTGAGGCCCGTGCCCGCAGCACCTGGCTAACCAGCGCCCTGAGGTTCAGTCAGGTTACAGCGTTGGGAGGAGACCCAGCGCCTCCCACACAGTTACCACTTTTCACATCAGGGCTGCATTTCGGCAAGACCTCATACATTCTCACAACAGGACTTTGAAAAGCAACGCATAAGGTTTACATAATACAAAGAGAAGTGGACATGAATCATTTTAGCAATTCATGTGTGGTCATTTGATTAACACAGTCAATCCAGATAGTTTAGTTTAAGCCTCCTTGATACCGGCTCTCTGAAGTCACCAGAGCTTGGTGAGTCTGGGTCAGGCACTTAACAGACTCAGACTTCCACTGAGCTTTATGATTCAGGAACATAAAGACAAAGTCTGTGTGGAAAAATTTTATTTTTTTCCCAGCTATGGAGGCCATTATAACAGCACCTTTACTTAACAATGTGCTTTCTTACTGTCTGCATTTTCTGTCTTTACTTGTCCTTGGCAGTTACCATTTCTAACTAGTGTTGTGTATGCCTGGAAAAGGCAAGACAGCGTCTGTCTGAGTTAGCACCCCCAGCAGCGAGGTTAACATCAGCTTTCCCGCGGAGGTCACTTGAAGACTGTACAAAACAGAAATACTGTTTCAAGTTTTTTTTTTAACATTTTTTATTGATTTATAATCATTTTACAATGTTGTGTCAAATTCCAGTGTTCAGCACAATTTTTCAGTCATTCATGGACATATACACACTCATTGTCACATTTTTTTCTCTGTGAGTTATCATAACATTTTGTATATATTTCCCTGTGCTATATACAGTGTAATCTTGTTTATCTATTCTACAATTTTGAAATCCCAGTCTATCCCTTTCCACCCTCCACCCCCCTGGTAACCACAAGTCTGTATTCTCTGTCTGTGAGTCTATTTCTGTCCTGTATTTACGCTTTGTTTTTGTTTGTTTTTGTTTTTTGGATTCCACATATGAGCGATCTCATATGGTATTTTTCTTTCTCTTTCTGGCTTACTTCACTTAGAATGACATTCTCCAGGAGCATCCATGTTGCTGCAAATGGGATTATGTTTTTGGTTTTTATGGCTGAATAGAATTCCATTGTATAAATATACCACATCTTCTTTATCCAGTCACCTGTTGATGGACATTTAGGCTGTTTCCATGTTTTGGCTATTGTAAATAGTGCTGCTATGAACATTGGGGTGCAGGTGTCATTTTGAAGTAGGGTTCCTTCTGGATACAAGCCCAGGAGTGGGATTCCTGGGTCGTATGGTAAGTCTATTCCTAGTCTTTTGAGGAATCTCCACACTGTTTTCCATAGTGGCTGCACCAAACTGCATTCTGACCAGCAGTGTAGGAGGGTTCCCCTTTCTCCACAGCCTCTCCAGCATTTGTCATTTGTGAATTTTTGAATGACGGCCATTCTGACT